TAACATTAGTGAATTTACACTGTATTATATGTGTAGAGCAACCAACTCCCATGTGGAAGGCCGCTGGTTCGATCCCAGCTCGGAATGGGTTTGGTGGTGTAGGACTGGCGGGGTTACACTAGCCGTTTGAGCATGTGTTTGGGTCTCCATGCCTGCAGCTTCATAATGTTGGGGCCACAACGGCAGCATTGCTAAACCCAGAAGTAAGGAGATCCACAGAGTAGTGTTTTGTCATTATTACATATTTTAAATACTTTCCCATTTTATCACCAGAGTATTGTCCATGAATAAACCCAGTTTGATCAACTTCAATAATCAAAGGCAATATTTTTTTCTAATCTCAAAGCTAACACTTTAAACAGTAATTTAAAATCCTTATTGAGAAGGCTGATATGAAGAGCATTCTTCTTCTGGTTTTCTCTTTTCAAGTATGAGGCTAAAATTAGCTCTCAAAGAGATCTAGGCAAAGATTTAGTTTCAAAAGAAAAGTTTAACAGCAATTCCATTACCACCAGAGTAGCTTGAATTCTTTCCAGTATCTTGTTTTTCAAGTTAATTTTTAACAAAAAAACTATCAATTATTACATATAATTAGCATAATTTTTATTAGTGCTGAACAAAATATTGGTTGAACATCGATATCGCAATGTGTGTATTCGCGATAGTCTCGACGCAGGATTTGATTATTTATTAAAGAATAAAGGTGTTCTTTAATATTATTATATAAATTATTTATACATGGATAATCATGTTATTTTGTGTTTAGTTGTTCAGTTTTTAAATTTATGTACTGTTAGACTCCCAAGAAACCTTTCATTTTTGCTCTCACTTTTTTATATGCTTGTAATTTATTGTTTTTTTGCAGATGCACTGCATAGAAAAAGACTTGATCACCCCAGTCGATGTAACTAATGAAATCTTTCTTAATGGGGCTGTTCAAATCATCTGATGAAAATAGAAATATATCACAATGTATATCACAGCAAAGCAAAATATCGCAATGTCATCGCAATTTTTCCAATATTGTGCAGCCCTTATTTGTATAATGGGTCATGATGTAATTCAATGTATTTTACTCCTAACACATTCTTGCTGTCATTGTGCAAATGTTGAAGCATTTTGGTTCATTGTTTCATGGAGGATGCTGTTTCTGGCATGCATGGCTTGAATGCTTATGAGATGTCATTTAAAAAAATATCTTTATGTTTTGGATTAGTTGTTATGGGAGTGGCACTGTAATTACTTCAGGGATGTCTGTTTGCCGTTTTCTGGCTCCACCTGCTTTGGAGCTTCTTATTAAAGCATTTCTCAGTTTTACACAGAGTTTTTTTAACCTATTCAAAAGACATGTTGTGTGTCTTGATGTTGCATTTTAATATGTGTTTTTTAATTTTCATTCAAATTTATATGACTTCAGTCTAGGGCTGCACCATATATCGTTTCAGCATCCATATTGCTGTGTGTAAATCTGCATTATTCACATTGCAGGATTTGCAATGTCAAGTTGAAATTTTAATAGCCAGTAGGGCTGGACGATTTGGCCTGAAATCTAAATCTCGATTAATTGAACATTTTAACTCATCTACCACTAATGAACAAATATTTTCTTCATTTGTTTTGTCCTTATAGTTTACTGACAAGTTTTGTACAGTAAATATGTTCACATATTACAAGTGAGAGCTTTTTAAATGAAGGGTCCATTACTTGATTTTAAAATAATTGGAGGAAACACACACTATCTACTATCTATGATTATGTATTGAACATAAACGTTGAACAACTAAAATTAAAACTCACATGGCCTAAAAAGAGCAGTCAAAATAGTACTAGTAAAAGTAACTGAAAAAAATGACCTGGAAAATTTGTTTGATTATAGGTTCTAAATGTTGTACTTTTCGATTAATCGCCCAGCCCTAATAACCAGCCACCACAGTTCAGAACGTAATTAGTGGAGTCTGCGCAAAGTTTAACCCTAATATAGTGAAAGGTTTTCATTTAGATATGTTTCTAAAGACCTGTGACCTGTGCTTAAACAAAGATTAATTGCATTTATTTATACAATGAAGACTAAACAGTGTCTTTTTTTAAATATGACTGAATTTTCTGAGTCTCAATACTGTTTAAGAAAACCCTAAAAGACAGTTTGTTTCATTTGCATCTTTATTGTAATGTGCTTTGTAGTAATATGCATAATATTACATATTACATCTAATATTACCATTTCCAAATAGTGTTACTAGTCATCTTTTGAAATTAGATTTATGTTACAATATATATGAAAAGTAAAAGAAAAAAAAGTAAAAGTCCGTTTCTTTTCCACATCATGCAACATTTCTTCCGTCTATTTTTCCCACATAAAGAAGGTAGTGGCAGACTTTCTCAGCACATTTTCCTAAATAGATCAAATTTAGTGTGTTTGATGAATTTAAAACTTGCCTCCTTACTAACCGTATTAATCTCAGGCATGTGCCGGTATTGATGCAGTGTTAGTGATTCGTGAGGTGTACCTGATGTTTCTTCAGGCCACAGGTGTCCCTAACAGATTTATAATTGTTGCCGGTTAATAGCACCACAAAGCAGCTGCATTACATTGGGTTTACCCCACCCGCTGTTTTTGTGTAACCGGTTTCTGACTCGCCGTGTTTGTGTTTATCACTAGTCTCCTGTGAAAAACGGAACAAGCATGGACTCTTCACTGACTGCTGCACAGATCCGTGAGAAGTTCATCGACTTCTTCCGCCGCCATGAACACCAGTATGTCCACTCGTCAGCCACCATATATATATATATATACAAAAATGTGAATGTATGTGCCTAATTGGTTGAAGAATATTACCTGTAAATGTTATCATTAATTTGATAATTTAAACTGTAGAACACAAAATAATTTTAAAGATTGTTGGAAACTGGTAGCTTTTAACTTGTTTTGAACATTCTTCAAAATATCTGCTTTTGCGTTTAACATCATAAAGGAATTCATAAAGGGTTTAGAGTAAGTTAAGGGTGACCTAATTAATAATATTTTTGTGAATTATCTATTTGCTTTTTTGGATATTACTTTCAGTTTTTGAATGTAAAAGGCAGAGTTTCCCCGTAAATTGCAATATCATAGATAAATGTTATTGTTTCCTAGAAGACGAAATCACTTTTTTTTTTTGGTCATCTGTGTTTTTTTATAGTTTATAGTTAACTATATTATATATAGTTTTATAGTTTGTAATGTAGTCAAACGTTTACAAATACAAGCGCAGCTGTTTAGAGCTCATTTCTGGTTAATGATGTCAGAATTTACTGGTATTTTGGAATGGATGTGTCAATGCTCTTTTCCGGAAAAATTCCGTAACGTCCTCGCCTGTGTGAACAGCACTTTTTTGAATCTTCTGGTAAAGTCGTTCCGTAAATTTTTCAGATATTTACAGTATCACTGTGTGAAAGGGGCTATTGACTGCACTTTGAGCGCCCCCTGCTAGCCTCACTTACACCACTTCCAACAGCAACCTAGTTTTTCCCATGTGGTCTCCTATCCAGGTACTGACCAGACTCAGTCCTGCTTAGAATTCAGTGAGTAACCGGTCTTGGGCTGCAGGGTGATATGACTGTGATTAGATTATCTATATGGGTTAAAATGACCAATTTTAATTATAATACAAGTTGTAGAATTGATGTAAATTTGTTTATATGTCTCTCTGTATCAGAATGGAGGAGAGCCGTATTCTGCCTGGCAGCATGAAGGATAACTTCTGGGAGATGGGGGACACTGGTCCATGTGGGCCGTGCAGTGAGATCCACTATGATCGCATTGGAGGCAGAGATGCTGCACACCTGGTCAACATGGATGACCCAAATGTGCTTGAAATCTGGAATTTGGTTCATCCAATTCAACAGGTAAACTTAAAGCTCTTTGCTACTGTACAGCTAGCAAAGGTAAAATAAATCACATACAAATAGATAATAGCTTTACTGCCACTTATATAATGTATTGTTCATAGGGATGCACAGAAAACTAAGAGATATTATGTTGGTTATTGTCTTGTATAAGAGATATTTTTATTCATCCATAGAAATGCACAGAGTACCACTACCGTGTGGATTATTGGCATTGGCTTTTATCCCTTTAACTGCCCCACCAAGAAAAACATTTCTGAATTACATTTCTTAACTCCATATGTCACTAGTTAACACACTCAATGCATTTTTTTCAGCACATCCCATAGTTTTTAAAATAGCAACCTCTACCAAATGGTTGATAAATCAGTTTATGATAAAAGTACTGGAATTAATAAATATATTATGAAAATCTGAAAAATAAGAATTTATTTTAAATAATGATCAAAATAAATCATTTTTGAATAGTATGCCATAAAGTATTTCCGATTCTCATTTAAAACTTTTTTTTTATACAATAAAACCAAAATCAAATGTGGTAGTACAACAGGACTATGTTTGTTTTTCTTTTTTTTTTTTTGTAAACCAACAATGCTGTGTAGTGTAAACCGTTATTTAAAACAGTCATTCTTTAAATGACTTGAACAGTCATTATTTAAATCTAAATCTAAAGAAAATGACCATTGACATCAGCCAGGAATAAATACATTTAATTTTAGTATAAATAAAATCATATGAAAGAAATAATGCTCTGTTGAACTTTCCCTTCATCAAATATCTTTTTTTAACATCAAGTTTACAATATTATTTGGCAGCAACTAACTTTTTTTTTTTAATAAACATTTTAATAAATATAGTTGGTTAAGGACCAGATCAGCATATTACAGTGATGCCTGAGAGGTAATATGACACTGGAATCTTGATTAATGGTTGTTGAAAATTATGAATAAGTATCCTTTTAAAATGTTTTTACTAATTTGTATTTTAAATATTAAACGTTCATTTTGGATCATACTTATTAAGCAGAATAATATTAGTGCATAGTAATTTTTTGCACAAAGAAACTTCAAGTTTGCACACATTTGTTATTAACGTATGGCTATGCTTCTGCACAGAGAATCAGAGACCGTGCTAAAGCCTCTGCCCAAGAAGAGCATCGACACAGGGATGGGACTTGAGCGCTTGGTCTCTGTTCTACAAAACAAGATGTCTAACTATGACACTGACCTCTTCGTTCCTTATTTTGAAGCCATTCAGAAGGTAAACTCACAGAAAGCATGGATTGACATTTATTTTTGCATGCAATTGAACAACTTGTCTCGCTTTTCAGGGCACAGGTGCAAGAGCATACACAGGAAAGGTTGGTGCAGAAGACACCGATGGCATCGATATGGCATACCGTGTCCTGGCTGATCATGCCCGCACCATTACAATCGCCTTGTATGATGGTGGCAGACCTGACAACACTGGCAGAGGGTGAGATGATGGTGTTATTGATTGCTTTGTATGAGGGATGGGAGTGTCCGCAAATTTCCATCATTAATTGTTTTTGTAATTAACAATCAAATGATCATTCATCTTTTATCTACTTCAGTGGCACATTGTCACCGACATGACAGGATGTGCAAATGATTCACAAAGCACAAGAACTCTCACCCAGAGTAGTATGTTTTTACTGTATTTAAAAGGCTAGTGGCATTGTAAAAATAATCTATGATTGGTATTTTAATAGAACATTTGAATGATTAAATATAATGTGTAATGTACAAATTGTACTTGGATCTGCACATTGGCAACTGGTGAATCTGTAGCTCCTTGTGACCAGGTCTTTTATTTTCCCAAATGTGCATAGAATATTGTGCAGATTAAGGAAAATATGTAGATTGTTAAAAAAACAATGTTATTTATGAATATTTATGAACTTGATGTGTTTACTTATGCCATTTAGATATTGGTCTACTTGATCAGTCTTCACATTCCTCAAATTGATACAAATTCAGAATTGATTGATAGCAGATTGATAGCAATAAAATATAACAGGGCTCGAAATTGCTGCCATTTTGACCGGAAATTTTATCTATGCGACCTCAAAATATATTTAGGAGCATTTGTTCGAGTCCATAAAATTGTTGTGTGCGACCAGTTTTTACTGCAAAATGTTCACCACATGTGCGGATTTGGGAGACATTTTCGCAGAATGCATCTCTGCACTTGAAACGCGTAATGCAGCACTCAGGAATGGTTTAAAACAGTTGTCATGTCAACTTGCTGCCGTAAACAAAGCCAAGTACGTAATGCTTATCCCGCCTTCGCGCTCTTCTTATTGGCCCACTGCTCTAGCACTGAAATATCAGCTGTCAATCACTCAATCAATGCCTTCTGGCTTAGGATGACAGAGACAGCTACTACCGCGAAAAACTGTAAAGCGCTGAACATGAGAATGAAGATAACACTGACAGATTTTGTTTTAGAAACCATGGCACCTAAAGTTACAAATAATGACAAATCTTACTAGTGTTCATGTGCTGAATGTTAATCCACCATCTACACTTTTAGAAGAGTGGATAAAAGACTTCAGTTGGCTTCAAGTCCGCTATGAAAATTCTGTGGGATGGAATTTTCAGGGAACTGCTTGCCACATCTAGCACGAGCTTCTGTTTAATTTTTCATTTAATCACCAGATGCTGTCTGCCGTGCAAGTGGCAGCTATATGTCAAATTTAACAATTTAACGGGTTTGTGCTGAGTAAACTAATATCGCTACTCATAAAAAGAACGGCATTGCTATTAACATGACGTATGCATATAATAAGGTACAGTATATGTCAAAAGCATCAGTGCAATATCAGACAGCACCCGTGAGAAAAGCACAGTTATATCATTAAAAGGTTAATTCATGTCAAGCAGTGCGTGCTGGGCTGGTGAGCGCTCCGTGTACCTTTGGTCACTCAGTTATGTTATAAAAATTGATTTTCTTGTGATAACGGGATTTCGTTGAGACATATTTTCCTCATGCTTGGATATTTATATATATATTTTTAGCTTGTTGTTGATTTCAAATGCAATAAATATGTTTGTATAAAACTTGTAGTAACGGTGCTTATAATTGGTGGGTGCGACTAAATTTTGGCTGATGCGCCTAAAATTTTTAAAGTTAGGAGCACCAATGCTACCAAGCAAAAAGGTTCATTTCGAGCCCTGTATAAACAAGTCCATACACTGATAATCTGATTCATACACATTTCAAAAAGGATAAAATCTACAAAAAAACTACTTTTTTATTTTTAAATGTACAAACATATCATAAATAGAGTGAAATTATGCAACTTGTGTAGCAGTTTCTTCAAACATTTTACAAAGGAGTGTTTATTTAAAAAAGTGTGCCCACTTAATTTTTTTATTTTCTTTTCTAATTTTTTTCTTGCATCTGCAGTACATTTTGTGTGTAAGCAGCATACGCCTCAACTATGCTCAAAAATTACATCCATTCTTTATTCTTTGAATCAATACAACTTAGCAATACTTAATTATCAACAATTAATCTACATCAATTAATTGTTAGCATCAATACTGTGCACTTCAGTGCTTCTCACACATAGACTTTATTTGGGCGGGCCACCAGGTATATTAACCACCGCCCAACTATATTTAGTAACACGTTTTTTTTGTTTATTTTTATTTATTTTTATTTTTTTGACTATTTCTATTATTCTTTTACACTATATTGTATCTGTGATCGATTAAGTAGAGGAAAAATCTCTCTTGTTTCTCTCTTTCGTTCTGTCTGCACGAAACTTGTTAGTATTCACACAGTCTCACATGCTCTGCAGACCCACAGAGATGCTCCTTTTTGGCATTTCATCCGGCCAGGTTTCTAAATTTCCTAAAATGGATTTGGCTTTTGCTTTCTAAAGCTGTTGTTAATCATATGCGTTTTTGCATTATCTTTTTACTGAAGCCTACTTTCACTTGGCTTTGCAGTTGAGTGCACCTGCACAGTCGCGAGAGTGAGTGAAACATTCAATAATTCCTTTTTTAATCCAAACAAATCAGAAAATCTTTACTACGAAGAGGATGAAATGACTACTGGCTACAAAATAGATGTACATTATTAGTAATGGTTAATCAAGGCATTTGCCTTATTTTAATATAGTTTTCTAATACTTACTCTCTCATGTCCATTTAATAGTTTATTGCTCTTTTCAGGGTGATGCTTTTCCAGAGCTGCGGAAAGATCCTGATATGGTAAAGGATATCATCAATGAGGAAGAGGCACAGTTCCTTAAAACCCTCAGCAGAGGACGCCGCATCCTAGACCGCAAGATCCAGAGTCTCGGAGAAAGCACAACTATACCAGGTGAAGCACATGATACCACAAAAAATTATAACTAATAGGCATTTAATGATTCACCGTTAGCCAGTTGAAAATCGATTCAAATATGTGACGATACAAATGTGGGTAAAATGTTGAATGAATCGTGATACATGTTTTGAACAGAGGGGATGCTGTTTACTGGTGCAAGCTCCCTTCACCTCCACATCAAAGGCGAGCAAGAGGTGGGCGACAGAGTAAAATCGACATCAGCGATGCCGAAGAAATAGTAAACCTGCCTAAACTGCTGAAAAGAGCCACGACTGTCCTGTGTAATGAAAAGACGGCCACCCTGTCACTCCTCATGCCCAACATGAAGACAGCCATACATAAAAACCTCTCAGACAGATACACATCAGTTCAGGATTATTTTATAGAACTGCTGATTACCTGGAAAGTAGATTGCACACACAAAAAACGCAAGTGACCAAACAAAGCCTTGAGCTCTTACTGTTAAATTCAATTGAATTGAATAATTTCAATAGTATTTTATAAGAAGTTTTTAAATTGTTTGATTTTCCAGAGACAGTCCTGTTTAATTTATTTTCTTAAAGAAGGTTCAGTTTAACAAGTTGAAACAAAAGAAATACATAAAAAATAGTTTACTTGGTAATTAAAAAAATTTTTAAATAAAATTTGAATTTCAGTTTAATTTTCAATTTTTATTCCAAATATCGTGATACAAATCGAATCGTGAACATTATATCGTGATACACATTGTATCGTGAGCTGAGTGTATCGTTACACCCCTAGTATTTAGTTTGTATTATTCTTGTTTTGTTTATAAAATAGCAATTAAGTTATGGCAGAAAATATTTTATATTTAGCAAAAAAGTGCTGCATTTAAGAAAGAAATGAAAGCACTATTCACCTTCAATTTGTTTTAAATAATTTTGCTTAAAAATCGTGACTGAATCATGAATTGTGAGATTAGTATGGTGAATCTTATCGAATTGTGAGTCCAGTGAATCGTTATATCCTTAATAACCAGATGATAATTGTTTTTAAATCAATAAGAAATCATTGAGGTATGGTTATTATAGATCTGTTAGTTTATGCATTTTTAAAAAAGAACCAACTTTTCAAATTTGTAATGAGATCTGTTTAAATATCTGGTTGTCACCAGAAATATTCTGCTATATTTAATCAAGAAAATCAATTTTAAATTTGTCTAAATTTATTCCTTAACAACACATATTAGTATTAAATGGAAATGAATGGAATTTCATACAAATATTTCACAACGAATATAAAACATTTTATACTTGACCTTTCACATTTTATCCATTTGATCTCAATCAAGAATGAGCTAGCTTTAAACAGTCCACAACACCTCAGCTTATATCTCTGATTAGTTGAGTTCACTGTTTTTGTTTAAGACATTTATATTATAAGTATTTATATAAATTTATATATATGTATTATAAGTGTTTATATAAATACCTATTATTAATATAAATTACTTTATTTTTATGTCAAAAGTAGAATACCAAGTAAAAACTGAGAATTTAATGATTTAAACGTGGTGACATGGGCCAGTGGGACACAATGGAATTGGTTACCGTAGAAACCGGAAGCCTCAGAATGCTGGCCTCTATTTGTGAGTTCTATATGTGACATCACACTGTATGTTACTGCAATTCTTGTTGGTTTGTTCATTCTGTAGCTCTGACAATTCAAATATGGGTCAGCTCAGTTCAAGTTGTAAACCTTCAAGAAATGATTGTGGCAGTGTGGACTACTATCATTGTACACCACCACAATCTTCCACAGATAAAGTGGAAAACAATTTACATCTAGAGAGAGATGTGGAAAGAGGAAAGAAGCGTTCTTCTAAAAAGAAGAAATCAATTTGGAGGTGGGCCTTTTCCCATCAAAGAGGTGGCAAAAAATACACCAAGGCCTCATCTGACCACAGTGCTGAAGTCTCTCCTGCTGCCTGTTTGGCTCCTGACAACAGTGCTGCCCTATCTCATACAGCGGCCAGTTTGAGTCCCGACAGCAGTACTGAGGAGTCTCCTGCTGCCAGTTTGAGTCCTGACAGAAGTACTAAGGTCTCTTTTGCTATCTGTTTAACTCCCAACTGCTCTGCGGAGTTCTCTTCTGGTGTTGCCGTTTTGACTCATGACAGGAATACAGAGGTCTCTCCAGGTACTGCCGGTATGAGTCCCGACTGCTGTACCGAGGACTTTCCTGATGCTGCCAGTTTGACTCCCGACATTTGTACTGAAGACTCTCCTAATGCTGCCTCTTTGAGTCCCTACTGCAGTACCGAGGACTCTTCTGATTCTGCCAGTTTGAGTCTCGACTGCTATACGGCTGAGTCTTCTGCTGCTGCCAATTTAAGTCCCGACTGCTGCACTGAGGACTCTCCTGATGCTGCCAGTTTAAGTCCCGAATGCTGTACCGAGGACTTTCCCGATTCTGCCTGTTTGGCGCCTGACTGGATTAAAGAGAGCTCTACTTCTGCCTGTTTGAGTCCGGACAGCTGTACTGAGGTCTCTACTGCTCCGGTCCCTCCGGCTTCTTCCTGGACCGTCTATGTGTCTCCTGCACCTGTCCGCTTGGTGACAAATTGGAGTCCAGATGTCTTTCTTCATTCCTCATTTTGTGTTTTAATGTCATTTGCATCTTATTTCTGATCTGCTGTAAATAAAGCATTCTTAAAAATGTGATGTTTTATTTTTATTTTGCATATAAAAACAATTATAGCCACATTGATTACTTAAATGGTGTAATTTTTCAAGTAACATATGGTCTAATTTTAATTTGGCACGTTGCTTTTGAGTATTGTGATATTTCTTGTTAAATTTTATTTCCCTGTTTAAGGAGATTAATGATAGTTTTTGAGTTAAATTTTATTGTGTTAACTTATTATTATTATTATTATTATTATTATTATAAATTATATAAATATATCTGTGATATGAGTATTGCATATACCATTATCTATCAATAATTTTTTATATATATTGCACAGCCCTAGGTACATTATTGTGTCCACTCTGGACCATGGTGTACTGTACAGGCATACTCTTTAGATTTGATCTTTCAATGTAGTACTGTGGGGAAAAAAAACAAAAAAAATTAATCAAATTAACAATCATGTACTAACTGATTTATTTTATCTTTATGATGACTGTAAATAATATTTGACCAGATATTTTTCAAGACACTTCTATACAGCTTAAAGTGACATTTAAAGGCTTAACTAGGATAATTAAGTTAACTAGGCAGGTTAGGGGAATTAGGCAAGTTATTGGATAACAGTGGTTTGTTCTGTAGAATATAGAGAAAAAATATAGCTTAAAGGGGCTAATAAGTTTGTCCCTAAAATGGTTCATAAAAAATTAAAGACTGCTTTTATTCTTGCAAAAATAAAACAAATAAGACTTTATCGAGAAGAAAATATATTATCAGACATACTGTGAAAATGTCCTTGCTCTGTTAAACATCATTTGGAAAATATTTTAAAAAGAAGAAAAAAAATCGAAGGGGGCTAATAATTCTGACTTCAACTGTATATATATATATATATATATATATATATATATATATATATATATATATATATATATATAGTAGTAGTAGTAGTTTCGAACCTTTATAAGTGTTTTTTTCTGTTGAACACAAAAAAAGAAATTTTCAAGAAACCTGTAACCATTGACTTCAATAGTAAGAAAAACAAATATCCCTATAATATAAAAGCAGGCCTGTAGCCAAAAAGTGTGTCTTTTTACAGTTATTCTCCTCATTTTCTATTTAATTAGAAGGTTTAGCATAAAAGATTATCATCATAATCACCCCTTTTAATGTACGAAATACATTTCCTAAAGGTTAAGATGAAGAAATATGAAAACAATACTTATTTTTAAAATACAAAAATAAGAATCTGTTAAAGTTTCACATTTATTAGCCAAATTACAAACTGACCAGCACAATCAAATTTCCTCAGTTACAATTTGGGATTCTGTAACTTAAAAACGGAAAGTCACGTCATGCTAAATTCAGCATCCCAAATTCAGTCTCAACCGAAAAGCCCTCTGCATAACAGCAGATCTCACCCACCCAATGCACAGCTTCTTCAGTCTGCTGCAGGGTGGGCACTGCGGAATCTCCAGGCCATGCAGGACCAACAGACTGAAAGACTGCTTCATCCATATGGCTCTCAGGAAACTGAACTCTCTCCCAGCTCCGCCACCACTCCCCTCTCCCTCCCCATGCACCTTTGGACTCTGACACATATGAAAACACACACATACACACTTACATCTGCACTGGTCACTTTATGCACCATTGGACTACCTCCCTATATATCATGACACTGTCACTTTATCGTAATTCTCATGTTTACAAGCCTTTTTGCACTATATACTGATCTATATCTGCACAACTGGTTTGCACTCATTGCCATATGCCCTTAATGTCATTGTATTGTATTGTATTGTATTGTATTGTTTACAAATTTTTATTCTTTCTTTTTTATTCTTTAGACTACATTTTATGTATGTTTTTAGATTACATTTTATGTATGATTGTATTTATTGTAAATTCTTTCTTAAGACTCTACTTTTTGTATTAACATTATATGTTAGGCACCTATAGGGTCTGAGAGTAACGTTATTTCGATTCATGTGGTTGAATTGACAATAAAGCTGACTGTGACTTTGACACTGTGACCTAATAACCAATATTTTTTTCTGATTTTCAGATTATTGGCAATGCAATTGTATCCCGTAAACTGACTGCGCACATCTCCTTCACCAACCCCTTACCTATTAATCTTCAAGGGGGTGTGTTTACTGTGGAGGGAGCAGGACTAACAGAGGCCAGAGAAATAAAAACACAGTATGTACTGGTATTAGAAACTAACTGTCTTATAAACCCAAGTTATGGTTGTTAATGTATGCATGTTGGTCTTTATAGTGGCAAGATTGAATCTGGGCAGACTGTGACTGTTAAATTCTCCTTCAAACCCACCCGCGCTGGCCTGAGGAAACTGCTCGTGGACTTTGACTCGGACAGACTTAGAGATGTCAAGGGAGAAGCCTCTGTCATTGTTCGGACAAGAATGCGACATGTAAATGCTGTCCCAGAAATTTAGACAAGCATGCACAGTTCAGAGAAGTGCACATCAGAATACTTCACTGTAAATGTAGTTAATGCGATATACTTAATGACAGCTCTTTTGCTTATTACATCATTTGTTGGCTGTTTGTTTGTTTTTCTTGAGGAGTTCTCTTTA